GATATAAACATGAAGTAGACTGACTTTGGATCAGTTTCTACCAGGTCCGTTCTCATTGGTTGGAAGGATGTTTAGGATCCGGTCTGATCCGGTTTTCGTACCTGACAGAGTGACTGACTCCTCTGTGGTGACACTTGACCTGGATCACGCCACACCAGAGACGGCCTGCAGGTGGAGGCAGGAGGAGGGAGACGCCACACTCCACCACCAGGGGACCAGTCCGGAAAAACAGAGGTGGAAAAAAAATGACATCATCACTGTGAGTGGTTTTCAATCCAAAAGTTTGATTTTTATGTCGATGGAACTTCTATTGTTGTCATTGAACATTAGTATTTATTTTTATTCTAAAAAAAGTGTCCCCACAAGTATAGCTACACCAGAAAGACGCATACACACATACATGTCATGTCAGTGACTTTTTTTTTCTCACCATCTCTGTTGTTATAAAAGTGTGCAAATCAAGACCAAAGAAAAAAAAAACTTTTCAAATACCTCACATTACTGCAAGTATTTTTCCAAAAATTTACATTTAAAAGATTTAACGTTTTACTTCTTACCTTTGATTTTGAACGTGGTCCAAACATGTGACGAAGGACGGAACCAGAACAGCCGCCGCTGAGAAAAAACAAGAACGAGTTTCATCATCATCAGATCAGCTGACCAAAAAAAACCAAAAACAAACTGTGACCTTTGACACCAACCCTCAAACATCTCTGACTGCTGGTCTGTGTTACTGCATGACAACACAGCCCAGGTGTGTGTGTGTGTGTGTGTGTGTGTGTGTGTGTGTGTGTGTGTGCTGGGTTTCATCATATTCCAAACTGCACCAACAAAAGACAAAAAAAACAAAACAAAAACCTCAAACTGGTTGGCGTTCGATGCCCGTTCACCTGTGGAGCCTTATATCTGTCACGTCACGGTGCTTCAGCTCTTTGTCCGCCTCTCTTTAGGATTCATTGGTCCCGGCGGACTCCACGTACCGCACCATTCAGCTGGTACTCATGTGTCATCTGTTATCTGTTGGACTGGTGTTTGTGCCGGGCATATGAATGATAATCAGGGCCTTTGTATCGTCCACTGAGGTGCAGCGGGATCTGCCGGTCTGCCACGTCGCCTCGGGGGGGGGGGGGGGGGTGGGGGGGGGGGGGGGGGGGTGGTGCGGCGGCCGGCCCTCTGTGTCACGTCGACAGTCACAGCGCCCATCCGCGGCCGGGCCCAAACCCCAGTGGGACCTTAAATCCTGTTACACTGTCAGCTAAAACCATCAGTTGTATTAGAGATGTGTGGGTGTTTAAGTGTGTGTGTGTGTGTGTGTGTGTACACGTTAAGTGCGGGGGGACAGTGTCTTAAAAGGATGAATAATTCATAGCTGAAAGAAAAGGAGATATTGACTACATCTCCATAAACACAGCGCCCTCTCTCTTTATGTCATCAGGCACGAGATCTGTGCCTATAATTGCATAAAGGAAGCCCTGAAAATGAGCAGCACAGCAGGCCGCGGTCAGCGTCCACCGCGGGGATGAACGTGAGTGATGGCAATTGTTCCAACTTAATATCTTATAAATAATTTACAATCTGGGCGCCGCAGCTTTAGCCTCCATCAAACGTCCACGCTAAGAAGCTTTGGTCCAACACACAGCTGTGTGGACGTTTACACTGGAGCCTGAAAGAGTCCGTCTGGGCCCCGGGAAAACACACACACACACACATACACACACACACACACACAGGAGTATGTATTATTATTTTTTTTTTTTTAGGCTGGGATCTCAAGTGAATAAAAAAAAAAAAGCTAACAGAGCTGTTATGATGTGAGTGGACTATT